ATATATATATATCCGCATATAATTTTTTCATTTTTTGATCCCAATGCCTTGGCTTAATGATCAAGTCTTTGGGTTTAGCAAGGATCATCTCCTCTAAGTTGTGCTTTCAAACCTGAAGATCTCATTTTTTATTCTCTCAATTGTTCTGTTAAAAAGAAAAGGACAATGATATAGTGGACAGATAAAGAAAACGAAATCAGGAAACGAATGATATGGTAAATATAAATTTATTAAAATTTTAAATCAAGTAATTTTGATTGGTTTTTCTCTTATATGCTTTCCGTTTCCTTTTCTTCAAAATCTGTCTTCCTCTCTCATCTCCCCATTTTTTTGCCAAGCTTCTCCATTGTGTGGACCTCTCCAAACTCAAGGACGATGCTTAAACCCATCCGACAATCGAAACCCATAGCCGTAGTTCTAGTATTTTTAAAAAAGAAAAAAAAGAAAAAAAAATCTAAACCCTAACTATTTGATAAAATTAAACCCTATTTAGCATAACCCTAAATCTATACTCAAGACTTTGCAAGGAAGATGAGAAAAATAGAGAAATGATGAAGATTTAGAAGAGAGAGTTTGGATTTGAATGAAGCCGTAATAAAGAAAAAATCACAAATATATATATATATATGAAAAAAAGTAGATACATGAATCCTATTTAATATTTATTAAAATGTATACTGATGTGGCATACTACTTCATAATCATCCCGTTAAATCGCTCCTGTTTCTTCATCTTTCTCATCATTATTCAAAAGAAAATAATTTTCCATTTTCTTTTGCTCTGTTGTCACACTCGTCAGTTCATTTGTCAACCCTGTTCTCTCAGTTTTTCAAGATGCTGACTCACTTTGATCCATCGTTATTATTTTAATTATTTTTTTATTAATATTTTAATATTTAAATATAATATTAAATATTAATTAATTTAAAATTAAATTACATTACATTTAAAAAAAATTCTTTCAAAATATTTTTTTTATTCATAAAATTTAAATTTAAAATTTTATTTTAAAAAATTAAATTAAAAAAAAAATCAAATTGTTTTTATTTAAATGAGTAGATAGTTGGTCATCATGTTTAATCATTACTACTATATTTAGCTGAGTTGGGTATTTGACCGTTGAATTTATGCCACGTAGGAAAGATAGGGGGAGAGTCTGGGAGACCTTGCCAGCCGAACGCAATTATCGCCAACTAAAGTGCATTGGGATTCGTTTTCTGTTTTCACCGTTGTTCATTTGATGAACTACGACCGCATAATTTAATCTATCACCTGAATCCTGAGGCAGAAACTTTTGACTTAATATAATGGAAAATTGAAGAGAGAGAGAGAAGACATATAAATGAAAAAAAAAAAAGAAAAACATTCAAACCCTCTCCATTTTAAGAAACGTTTTACTCCAGCAACCAATTTTGCTCTTAACAACCTAATACAGCCATTTTGTGTTGTTATCGAAAAAGTCTGCAGCTTAATTAAGGAGAACAAGTATAATTTGGGGCAGGGAATATGATGGATAATGTTTTTTAGTTTGCAAAAAACACCTCGAACTAAATTTAAGTTGGTATTGGTCCATCATCCATAACCATGCATTACTTTCTGTGATTCATTTTTTCTAATTTTTTCTAATCTCTCAAATAGATTGACTAAACTTTATGTAAGGAACCAATTATTGTGTTTTAGAGATGTACTGTATACTACTCATGTGGAGACAATGTAGTAATAGTAAAAGGAGAAGGTAAAAGTAGTTCTTCGGGATTCGTTAAATAACCCTACTTTAATTTGAACAATCTTTGTTCATTCCATAATTAGGGTGAATTCCTTTATAAAACGTTGAGCCTGGAAAAATTTTTCAAGAATCTTCCAGCATGATTAGGGAAGTCCACACACCCGCACGATTGTATTGGTTATTCGCCCCTCCTTTCATGCAGAAAGCAAGCGAAATTGTTACCCACTAGAAAGTTCATTGAATTTGAGTACATTACCAAAAGGGAAAAGGAAAGAAAAAAGATAAATGAATTTCTAAGAACATCACAACAGAAGAAAATGAACAACAAACCAAAATAGTTTTTTTTTTTTAAAGTTAAATCCCTATTTTAGTTTTTTTATTTTGATAAAAAGTTTATTTTTAATACTTTTACTTAAGAATTTTTTTTTAGTTCATTAAATTTGAAATTTGATATTTTTTAACTTTTCTGTTAGATTTTGTACATGTGATGTATTAAATGATTGCAATTTCAAAATAAATAGATCAAAATTATTTTTTTTAAGTAGAGAAACTTAAAAAAAAACTTTTTATCATAATAAAGAGTATAAATTAAAGTTTTAACAAAAAAAAAAAAACCATAAACCAGAATATGTAGATTCAAACTAAAAATATATCGTAATAAAAGAATGAAATGAATATATATTACTTATCAGCTTCAAACACAGAAAAGCTAGATTATAATCTAATTAAACACTTTCGAGATATATGAAAAGCTTGTTGTCTTCATCAAACCATGGCTTGTTTAGAAATTGCTCACTTGTTTTATCCTCTGGTATGCGCTTAAGGGAACGACCGAACTAGGAAATGGCATGCCAGAGATTCCTAATTTCCTTTTTTTTTTTTCTTTTTTAATGTAAAGAGAGTGCTTCGGAAACAAGCACTAGTTTGATCTCTTTCTTTGTCTCGTCTCTGTTTTCTTTCTCTGCAAAAGGGGAAATCTTCGAGGTTTTAAGCTGCATCTTACACTCTGATCGATGCAAACTTTGAGCATAAATCCAAAATTGATGCATTCTTGTGAGAAGAGATAGGTGTATTTATTTCCCCCTTTGGTTCCACCATTTGTATCATCCAGCAATTCTATTTAATTACTGATAGTCTGTTAACTTGAAATAATTTGGAAGAACCAAAAGTTTGCTGGGAATTTAATGGGTCATAATTTTGTTGATGGTATTTAATAAAGTCATGAGAATGCAGAGTTGCGTACCTGATGAAGTAGTAAAGTGTGGCCCTCCAAAAAATTCACAACACAAGAATCCAGAAGTTGGGACTTGGACAACACCCACATTTCTTAGATGTTTGGGCCTCTATTTTAGCGAACCAACGCCAGACTCGGGCCCTGAGCTCGGAGTAGGACTTACATCATGTCTGGAGAACCAGTAAGGCAAAATTGAAAATAGCCAATTATAAATTTATAATTATTACCTATTACACTTTTTTTTGGTGCAGCTCAAACCATTTGATGGGGAATTTAACGATCATGTTTTATAATTGAATTTTTATAAACGAACACGGATAAAAGGGAAAATTATTTCATATTTTTTATATA